ATTCACGAAAAAATCTGCGTGTAATCTTCTTGAAACTGCTTCCATGAGCTAAGAAACTTATTTCGAACTCGAAATTATATACGGATACGCGATATATGCAATACATCGCAGAAGATATCATAATTCCGAAGTGAAAAGCGTGTAAAAATGCATTGCAGTTTCGTTGACTGTCATTAAACAGTTCAATTTAATTAATATCAAATTGCTCGATAGACATCTCGAGACATCCGTAAAGTACCGCATAAGGAACGCGCGAGTGTCGGAATGCGCCGAAAATTCCAATCAGCCGGATGTGAATGTCAGCATTTCTCGGGGCGCGAATACGAACGCGATGTATTCGATCAGAGCGCAGTGACATTTCCGTGAAACGCTCACGCGGAACATCTTCGGAATTTCATTCTGACAGGATGCGAACGGGGCATTTCCTTCGGATACCCGCCGTCCCAGGAAACAATAAGAATACAACGACGCACCTGTTTGGTGTCTCACGCGCGAGCAAGGATTTTTTTTTAAATATTTCTATTCAAGAGATTCTTGATTCCTTGAAGATGTATACTGAAAGTTTGTAATCAGAAAGATCCTGCCGAACTTCACGTACGTACATCTGTTGTCGACGTACCGAGATGAATCCCAGTGAAAATCCGCAACTGCGGTTGTACTACTGGTTCTCGTCGAACTTTCGGCTCAGATTTATCTAGATAATTATTACTATTATCGATGTAAGAATATGCGAGATCGGTATCAGAAATTATCCAGATAGTGAGATCATGCGCGCAGCACGTATATTTATACAGAGTGTGCCAAGTTTGCTATCTTACTTTTTAAAAATAGATACTTGGACGAAGTTAAAATTAAATATTTATAAATTGATTATTACTAATCAATTTTTTGTAAAATGTTTCATATCATTGCCAAGTTAGTAAACATTAAAAAGTAAGAAATTACAAAAACTTTGATGACACTTTATCAAATTATCTAAAAAAAATTAAATCAGAAAATCATTAATGTCGCGTTAAAAAAAATGAAATACTTGGGACACTCGGTATATATAAAAATATACATATGCGTATAACGCGTGTATATAATATACCTAGAGAGATGGAAATGAACAAACTGTCTGCCGGAGAAATATAAAAAATGCGTATATATATATATATATATATATATTATATACATATTATATGAATAACCTACAAATAAGTTGTAACTATCCGTTGGTACATATCGCACATATGACCGAAAGGGGCGAGGAGAGAAGAGCCGGGAATATCGCTTCAGAAGTCAACGAGGACAAAGCAAGAGAGTGCAAGAAGCAAAAGGGACGCACCAGAGGAAAGATCGAAGCAATATCGAAGTAATATGACTTCACGATATTAAAAGATATGCAAACGTGCGCTGCTGCGTCGTGCATTTCTCTCTCGCTAACTGCCGTTATCGTCGAAGTGATTTATCAACAGATAAGAATATTTCACATCGTATTTACATCGAGATTTGTGTAACCGATGCTTCGATTTTATACTTCTAAAGAACCTTAAGCAAAAATGAATTGGCAATTCAGAGAAGATAAATTTTCTAATTTTTTAAACTATAATTATATACAAGTTTTCTAAAAATTTCTTTTTTTTTCAATTTAATTATTACTTGAGTAAATTTAGAAGAGTGGATTTAAAAGTTACGTTATATTAATAACTACTATATAGTAAAAAATTAAAAGAAAAAGTAAAAAAATAAATACATATATTAGATAAGTGCAAACATTTTAAGTTCTTAAAAAAAAATTGTTATCAGAATTTTTTAAAATTAAATTAGAGATTTAATTTTATTTCCAAGATAATTATGAAAAATTAAAGATTGTGTATTTTTCATGAATCTTCTCGTAATTGCTACTTCTACGGTGTTAGTTACGTACTTTTCGATCTTTTCTACAGTGCCGCTTCCGGCAGTATTCGATATTCGACATGAGAATAAGAATAGGACAAGCAAGTGAACTAAGGTCTCGCTCATTCGATCTTGCCGCGGGTCGGATCGATTGTACAGTTATACAGTGTATCGAAAGCTAAAGTGAGAAATTGTGGGGGCTACTTTTGGAGCGAGTCCCCGTAGACGAAGACATGACGATGACACCACGAAATCTCATGACACAACGAATGTAATAAAAAGAAGTTCTTCGTTTTCTACACATTGCGTGTTTATTAATACTATATCCCGCCTTAAAAATGTTAAAATATTTCATAAAAATATATATATATATATGTATCTTTTTTCATTTATTTATTTCAACGATATTCGCCCTGTATTCTATATTCTCTTTACATACACAAAATTTATAATTTATATGTTTTATATTTTACTCTCTATTATTTGCGATTATTAATGTCATTTCAATAACATATAAAACTTTAACTAATAGATTTAAATGTTTTTACCTAATAATATTGATTAACACAATTTGTAAACAATAATAAAACCAAAAGTTACATATATTGTAGAGCATTTTAATGGAAAGTATAAACGCGTAGCTACATGTGTAAATACACAAAGAGACAATTTGATATATTCTACATTGAGATTCATACTATCAATTCACAATATAAAGATGTCTTAGATCCAGAGATCCAAGATGTCTTAGAAAAATTAATCTATTTTATATAAGGCTTTATTTTAATAAAGAATACTTTATTATTTATTTAAAATTGTCTAATATCAATATCATCAATTTAAAGTTGATTAATGTTAATCACGGTTTCTTAAATGTTTTTCTTTCGTAATAAATAAGTAATATTTTAGATTGTAAATATATGTAATCGATTCACAACATTTGCAAATTCCATATTCATAGATTTCTACAAATATTTTTACACATATTTTTTCTCATTTTTATCGCAATCATTTATACGTATTTTTAATGCTATGAAAATGTATAGCCAGTTGCATATCTACCATACGGATGTGAAACAGAAAAATTCGGATATTAACCAAATCTATTCAGGTTATTTTTCTCTTTACATAAATCATTATAATGTTTGATCTTCTTACTGACAAACAACTCCTGGGGAATCAATAATAATAGTATTATATAAATATAATAACAAATTATATATCTCTTCGTATTATAGATGTTTCGATCCAATCGGAAATAAATATTTAAATTTCCGATGAAATTTTTTATTTGTCCAAAAAAGAAAAAGATCTTATTTCAAATTCTTATCAAAATTATTTCCTACTATCATCACTATCGACAAGATATATTTCCAAGGTAAGTAGGTATTTTTGTTACAAATGGCATAACAAATTTAAAAAATACTTTATTCTAAGATGCATTTACTTTTTATTTTTTAAACAAGTTGTCAGACGTGGAATGATATATAAGTATGATAATATATAAGTAAATAACATATTATTTTAATACGCTGTCGGATTATTCTTTTTTGCAATTTTTTCCGTAAAGTAGAAGAAAATATTGTATCTAGTAAAATAATTCATTTTTATACATCAATTGGTTTTTATGTGGCATTCTAACAAATAAATAAATCTACATAAGCATCTAAATATAAAATCATATCAAAATATTATTTTTAGGATTATAATTTGAAATAATAATTCTATGTATTTATCTCAAAAAATTTATCGTTAAGGAAGTAAAAATGGATAAACTTGTAGTAAACAAAATGTTCAAGTTTTCTTGTTAAAATAAATAGTTTGCCATCAGTTTTTATCTACATTTTTTTGAAATTCCACGTGTTTCAAAATTTACTTCATCAATTCCATGTTGTATACTTTACGGTTCATTGCCTTTGCAAAGCTTTTTGGCTCTCAAAAAGAGAAAAATCCGATTTTTACTACTGTTCCGCGCAATAGCTTGAATAAAATCGACCAGATCGCGACTATAATATTTAAACGGGGGAAAAAAAGGAGACATTCAATTATACGCGAAATCCATTTGCGAGTCGGAGCGGTTCGACTAAACGTCGAGATCGTTTCGCGTTTCCCGAACATCGGCGGTGCCCGGGAAATCCCGCAGGATATAGTTTTTCCTCCCTATATAGATATCTCGTCGAGTGGCGCGGAAGTAAAATGGATACGCAGTGGGACGATAAATCGTCACACGCAGGACCTTCCTAGCGTTTTGTGCTCAACAACGGGCAGGAACAAAAGGGAGGCGCGTCACCGTTCGGCTCGATTCGGCTCGGCTGGAATTTCGTCCCGACGAAAATTTTCATCGCTAGCGCATAGCTATTTATTTTATTCTCGCTCGCACGAATCGGATTCTGCGTCGCGTTTGCGATCTACGCGCGATAAATCATCTCGATCCTGCAGCCAAACGCCGCGTGCCGCGATCAAAAATAGAAAAAACGAACGACGGAAATGCAACAGAGCGGACTTTGAAAAAATTCATCTCGCCCGAGAGGAGTGATTCTGGTTGTTTCTCTATTTTTTCTCTTTTTTTTTCATTAAAATCCTACGAGCATAACCGGCAAGCGTTACCTAATTTTGCATTCGCACAGATTTTATTTGTGAAAATAATTAGCGTCGACAAATTAAAATATGCCACTGATTTATTGCTTACTGTTATTACCGCAAAACGAGAATATTTTTACTATCTTTATATTTATGCTCACAAGTTCTTGTATATCATTGTTATTATTATTATTATTATTATTTATCTTTAAATATATTTTTAAAAGCTTCAATTATGACAAAATGTAAATGTAATAAAATAAATTTGCAAATATAAACGAGCTTAGAGTAACAAGATTTTTCAAATTTTAATTTAATTAGTTCTAGCTTATTCTTATGCTAAGAAGAAGATAAACAACAGATATCACATAAAGTAGAATTAGAATAAAAATTAATATTTATTAATTCGATAGAAGAGACAACCGGCGAATTGAAGCAGCGCGTATTGAAATGCGATTATTCAGCCGCAATGATACCGAAAATATTGTTGTGCGAATAAACAAATAATTATTCACGCAGATACAATAAATAAATTCGCTCACCGAACGATGATAATCCCTGTTCCGCTCTGCTCCTTCCGCATTCCATTCCTGTTACACACAATTAAAATTTTAAATTTATGAATAAAGAAGAATAAGAAGCTATGACGTATTTAACATTATATGATTAAACATATATAAAAATATAGTTTTAATAATTTATATTTTGTGTATAATAAAAAATAAATTTTATAAATTATATATAATTATATATGTTTCTTTATATAGTTAATCATAACTATTATTCATAATTATATTTCATGTTCGAGATTGTTTCATTTTACATCAGTTTTACGTGCAAAAAGCTTGTGCAGATGAAAACAATTTTCGCAATTTTCGCAAAAGTTAATGAGTCAATAATAAGATAAACGTGAAATGTAAATTATAAATCGTAAAGCACCTCTTCCTCTATTTAAATAAATAAAATATAATATGTACCCAATAAATGAGAATTAATTTCCATAGGATTTCGCTGAGTTCATATTTAGATACCAAATTCTACACAAAGTAATGATACTTATATATGCTTACTCGCAAAATAAAACGCGACGCAAAGTTCTTCCTTGCGTGCGCATAACAGGTCGGAAATCGAACTCAGCGAAATTATATTGGTTTCGATCTTCGCTGATAAATACACAGCAATAAACATTCATTTAATATTAGAGTAATAAATTATATGTTAGAGTAGATTAGAGTAATAAATAACTAGTAGTATCTAATAAATACTCACGAAGAGAACGATGCCCCGCATTATCCGCCGCTGCCGGATCTGGTTGCTCCGTTGTTTCACTCACTTTCCACTCGCGACACGAACTGATCGGAAAAAAAAAACGCGCGCGGCCGACTACGCGTGCTAATTTAATACTTCCGATACGGCACTCCCGACAATTTTTATCGCACTCCCGACGGGCAGATTCGGCGAGCAGATAGCGAGGGACACGATCGTCGCCCGTCGTATCGCGCGCGACGACGGACTTCCGACGTGTTCGTCAGATGCGTTCGCGAACGTGCTCGCTCGAAGGTGAAGTTTGTCTCGCCCGGAGGGCAACTTCACGCCCCGTTGCGCGGCGTCACCGCGTCATCCGCCGATGGGTAATACGACGCGACATTCGTTCGTTTCGGCAGCATCCACCGGCACTTCGTGCAACCCCTGTCCCTTGGTCTCTCGCTTTTTCGCAAATCTATAAAACTCGCGATCGATTTAATAAAAAAAAAAAAAAAAAAAAACACGCAGAAAACGGAAGATGAAAAGTCCATGAAATTGTACTCCGAATTTCGGAGTTTGAGTAGTTTGACCGACCGCTATGAAAGGCCGATTATCGTCGAGTACCTTGGCTGCTCCGACGATCCCTTCGACGATCCCTTCTACTCGCTCGACGGAGCAAACGAATACTCAGTATTTGATACGACGCGGTTTTCCGCGGAAGCGAAAGCATCCTCGATCGCGTCGCTTGATAGCAAGCGGTGTCTGTTTAGTCCCGAAATACCCTTCGCACGCCTCGTTTCGCCCCCCCCCCTCCCCACCGTCCCCGAAAGGACTTTGTCCCGAGACGTCCTTCGCACGTTTCGTTCCCGAAAAGAAAAACACGCGCCGAGGCCGACCGACCAATTCTCCGAATTCGTTGTCGAGCTGCTCCGCGCGCGGACGCTCGTGAAGGACGAGAACATCAATACGCGCGCACGCGGCCACGATCGAGCACCGAAATAACGTTCTCGATCGCATATTCGCATACAATACGATATGTGATACGGTTACTTATCTTGTCTCACGGTTACGCTTACGATCGCCTCGCCTCTATTAATACTCGCTTCGATGCCGTGCACCCTAATAATCAAGTAATGATGCAGCCGGAACGCGGAAACCGCTCGCAGGAAATGCTCGGGCGGTAGAGAACAACGCCAGACGCCAGACGCCAGTCAGAATAGCCAACTCACTTTCGCTCGTAGTAAAAAGCGCTAACGCTAAGATGATTGGTTACTCCGCTATCTTTCTTTCGCGCGGCAAGTACATACGGTAACTCACGAAACTAAATCAAAACGTACCATTGTTACGAATTACTTGTGAAAAAAACATGTTTACAGTATTCAATTCGAGCCCCATGAAAAATTATAATCTCATATAATTTAATTATCAGAGAAATTGCGATTTATGTAATTAAATTAATTACCGCATTATGATCGTACAAACGCGCGAATCTTTAACGCTTTAATACTGATTATTTCAAATATAATACATTGTCAATGTTATTGCGTGCTGAGCCACAGCCGTTGTTTTGTTTTTAAAACCTCGTTGAAAATTTCAAACGGAGCAATATTATATCAGACGAAAGCGCGACGAGGTCGCCTGTCTAGATAATTGTAAGTACTACGTGACTCATTGTCAGTTCAGTTCCGCGGCTGGCGGCATTCGCGGCTGCCTTTAGTTAATACGTGTGCCGCAATTATTTTTCGTCGCGTCGCGCGTTTCGCCGCCGTAAGTACTGGGCGAAAGTGAAAGTGAATCCCGCGTGCGAAGTAGCGAATATCAATCGGCGATCCGCCGCGTGCCAATTAATACGATCGCGATCAAGAGCGAGACTGCGAGGTCTGTGTTCGTCGACGTGCAGTGCACCGAGCGTCTCTATATCGGCACGATACTAGTCCAATACTCCGCATTTCGCGCATTAAAAATTCGTCGTTTAATCGACACAGATCGCGCGATCGAGCATTGAGAGTCACGCGAGAGGAACTTACCGGCTAATTTAGGTTAGGTTAGGTGTGAAAGCGCTCCGGTTTACGACTCCGCGAATGGAAACTGATGAAAATCGCCACTGGCTGACAACGCCGTGCCATATTTTTCTCCAAACTTTTAATGGTCGAGGGTGTATGCCGAGCGTGTAACGAGTCGAGAGTTCCCGCAAACAAATCGGGGCCGTTGATTAATCCGCGCGATCACGCCGCACTGAAGGCGTAGGGTAGGGGGGGCGGGAGGGCGAGGAGGGGTCGACGGTCGACCGCCGACCGTACATCACGTTGTTATTACGTAAAGCGCTGTACATCATTATAATCTCGCAATCAGGAGAGTTGTTCGAATAGATCGACGAATCCGGGTCGTGTCACGTTTTCTCGTATTTCTCGTTATTATTTAGTCGAGGCGCGTTATATGTACGCGCGCGCGCGCGCGCGCGCGTGCAACAAAGTGAACCGGACCGGTTGTTAATTGGTGCGCGAGATAATAATTAACAGCGTGCTTCCGATCGACTCGTGCTCGTGTGTGCGAGAGGCGGGCCGCCCGGAGGAGCATAGTATCGGCCGGAAGCCAGGAATGCGGAATGCAGAATCAGGATGCAGGATGCAGGAGCAGCACGGGACGGCAACGGCGACGGGGCGCTGCATCGTCGGTGGGTGAGTAAATTTTCATTCGTGATATTTGCACGGGGTGTTCAGTTATTCGCGGGACAATCTGCGGCGTCATCGTGTTACAATAAACGCGATTTTTCACAAAAAGTCCGTATTATTAATAAAAGTTCGGAATTTATCTCCATTCCCGCGTTAATTGTGCAGCGCAATAAATTTCGAATTTCTTTTACATATCTTTGGAAAAAAAGAGCCGATCAAAGGGGAGAGTAAATTTATAAATTACGTGAATAATTGTTCATTCGGAAGCATGATATTCGCCGCGTTGTCATTTTCCACAAATGTCAGTGAAAATTGTTTTTAAAAAGAGCTAAATTAAAATGCTTAATTGAAAGCGTAGTCGTAAATATGAGGGAAAAAAGTGGAGACACGCAATTGAGAGAAATGAAAGAAACAAATGTTTACTTGATGTTTGATCCTATATTACTCTTTTATTCTAAACGGAACGACAGGAAATGTTTACATTGTAATAATTATTTGGTCCGCCTATTTTGAGCCGGCGTATTCCGGCTACCGTTTTGTTTCATTTTGCTTCATAGAATAGCTCGGGGGGGCTGCTGTTTAATCTGCTTTTGTGAATAGTGTTCACCGAACTGTTGAACGACAGCGGATTACGCGTGGACGGGCCGTTTATGTATGTTTATTACCTTTGTGTTTTATCTTTTAATCTACAGAGACGCAGAAGCAGGCAGCGGCAACTTTTGCAAAATTGCCGCTAATTACACAGCATGCAAATTGAATTTCAACGCTCGTTTTCCTCCTGTGTGTTGGGAAATACATTATTATACAGTGTGTACCATATATCGCGTAGTAAACCGTGCGGACTTATTGCGTAAGACATCCTGTGGCCGTTTTCTCTTTAAAAATTTCTATCAAAATATCATTTTTATTTTCTAATCGCAAACGATTCTTAAGCTTCCGTTTTCTATACTTTTTATTCACTTATGAAATAAAAACATCAGTATTTTCTCGATGTTAAATCCCATTTTAGACAATCTATAATTTATACATTCGGAATTCAGAATAGAATTCTATTTATAATTTTATATATCTCGTATAATATCTCCAAAAACATTTGAAGAGGATCAGAAATATACACATATAAATCCAGATTAAAACATACATCAATATAACTGGCTTCATAATTTATAAACAGAAGCTCGTCAAATCGCTATCCTGAAATCTGATGAATCATGAAATTTATAGATCGTCTAAAATGAGTCTAAATAAATTATTAACATCAGGTACAAAAATTTATCACCAAAATTAAATTAATTAGCATAACTAACTATATATATAATATATAAATTAAAAGACATTCTGCTATTTTTTCATAATTTTTGTATTTTTCTCAACACATATAATAATATTTCGATTTTTTACATATTAAAATATAATTATTAAAAATAATCTGAAAAATTGCGTTGTGGAATTAAGATAACAGAAGTTTCCAATATAACACTCGTATAAAACGAATATCCAGTTCCAAACAATAGTGAATTTTTTTTGCTCTCGAGTCCTACCAACCGGATTTCTCTTGCTAACTCTCAAAGACAAAGGAAGACAAACTCGTCATCGAAGGAGTAAATCGTTGACGACGACGGCCGGAAAATTGTAAACTAACTTAATTGACCGTGTACTTTCGCGCTCAGGTAGCTCTAGGAGCTTTCAGCAGCCCAAAGCTTCCATTCGCACAATATAGTGGTTCAAGGGAAAACTTTCCTCCCGTTTCGTCTCGTTCATCCTTTCGTCAGATTTTCACCTCGTATTTTCTCTCTTTCTCTCTTTCGCCCTCTCTCTCTTTCTCTCCCTTCCCTCTTCCCTCCCCCTCTCTCTCTCTCTCTCTCTCTCGTTTTTGTCACGATTTCTTAACATTCCCACCCTCTATTTCGTCTACTTCGTTCTGGTCGAAAAAGTTGGTTCGACGGCGTTAAATGGCGGAATGGTTCGTCAAGCCGCGTATCAGGCCGTTACGAACGTTTCGATACGCAAAAGTTACGATTCGCAACCGTAACTTTCCACTTTCTTTGTCAGCCTGCTAAGAAACTCGATTACGAAATCGCGACGAAGGAAAGTCGTGACGATATCTCCCTTCTTTACGCGTGCAACCCCGTAACTTTGAAACTACTGTCGTGAGTACTTTCCCTACCATCGCAGAGGCGAGTAGTTTCTGTCGCGCACTAGGTAGACATCTTATGTTAAGAAGATAAATTATCGTGAAATTGTCGTAATTTATAGGAATTGTTAAAATAAAAATATTTTAAAATCAAGATGTATGAATTATAGTTCTTTCAAAACATTTATTTTTGTGTTTAATTCATTATTTACCATATTTATTATAATATTATTTAAATTATATAAAATTATTACATTTTATGTAATTTATTATATTAATTTACTTTTACTGTTGTTTATGCTTCG